CACCACCATAGTCACAGTCCGGCGGTCGGTTGGCAGTCTGCCGATCGTACGTTCCGTTTCCACTGCCAAACTTTATCATATGCATTTAATAAATGCTATAATAATCCAGAAATTGATTGGATTTCCGTTGTTCCGCTGCCGACAAGGACACCGGATTCCGACTTAAAATCTCCCCTGTGGTCAAGATTAGCGGGCCCCTATGTTCATTTATGGTCGCGGCACGGGAGGGTGTTAACACAGAAAAAAAATCCGGAGACACTAATATAATAGTGTACTTTGTCCTACTTGCCCCACTGCCCTCCCTGCCCTCCGGTTCCGTCCAACCGGTACACTCGCGAAACAACAACGTACACCACAGACTTCAAGGTACGTACCGTCGTTGAACGACCTTTTCAAACCAAGAAATTAGTTCTGGCTTTGTGTAAAATTTTGCCAGATTATTGGAGCAAAGATTTTCCTGGTTAAGGCTTGGATTGACAACAACACGGTATATAATACAAGGGTCTTAATCAGGGGTTAATGGGTTTGTGTGAAATGAAAAACGTGATTAACTACGTGTTGAAAAGGAGATGGTGTGAAAAGGTCATGCGACTCGGTAGAAGGCCTACCGTACGGTACTCACTGCTCAGCTTCAAGGTTCCGCGTCGACCGAAAACTGCTGGGCTCACAACAGCAGTCGGCACAGGGGTCGGCACAGGTTTTTAGCTCGCCCATATTTATATGGGGCGAGCTGTAGCGGTCATCCGGATGTGGGGTCCGTCTGGCATTTTATTTCGCTGTACGACGTCACCGTGTTTAGGTGGTTAAATTCGCCGGTGGCGTCATACTGTGTATTTTCGAAAAGTTTAGGATTCTGTGAAATCCACTGTGAGTAAGGCCTTAATGTACAGCAAAATCCTACCAACGAGAACCAAAAGATCTAATGAGCCCGTTCCTCGTCATACGACATAATCCAACGCCGTGTTTTTGCGGTTTTTTCGGGAAAGGGCAAACCAACTTGAGATTTTTCCTTAAGCTCCTTTTTTCACCTTTGAATCGTGTTAAGGTCTAACGTGCCAGTTTAACCCATTTTTCCCGGCGGTGCCGGGACGCACGACAATTTCCGTTTGGCCGCGTTTGGCCTGATTTTAGCAGTACATCGGAAACTGCTGCGTGGGGTATTGCTCCGGTCAGCTCTGAGATGAGAATTGCTACCATACTTTAGACCGGGGCGCCCTCCCACCCACCCAAACGCAAGAGTCTCATATGATGTGACTAGAAACTCTTCAGATCTTTGGTTTTAGTGCAACCTAAAATGCTCAATATTGTACCGGGGCCCGCACGGGAATCAATCTTGCCCTCCCACCCGCCCCACGCAAGCGAATCGGGGCGCCCTCCCACCCACCCTCATTAAAGCTTTTCTATTTTATAATGCTTTCTATAAAGAGGCGAGCTGCTAAATCCGCCGAAGGCGGATTGTGTCGTCCTAGTTGGAAATGTCGGCTCAAAGCCGACTGCCTCCCAAATTCATCGGCTTCTTGCTTGGATTTTTGGGTACTTGTCGGCTTTTGGCAGAGGGCCCTGCCTCTGGTGTCGGCTTTCGAGCCGGGTACTTTTCAATTTTGTCGGCTTTTCCCAAAATCTTGTGTCCTGGGGTTCACTGTTAGTCGGCTTATGCCGACCCCTGGAAGCCTCTCGAGTCACAAGCTTTGCATCTCCGATCCGCGTACAGCTTTGTACACTGCCTCTCTAGCAAAATTTTGTACCAGGTCTGTATTTCTCATGCCACGTGATCGATCGAAGGGTTCTCATTGGTCCGAAGGACCGGAGATGAGCGCTCAGACATTTCGGTCGACGCAAAACCTGTCGCGATGTGGCATCTGCAGGCTCCGAGATTTTCTGGAGTCTGCAAACCAGCCCTGAGCAGTCTGCCAGTGACTGCAATATTGTGCATTGCTGCTTGCATGCATGCATTGAATTTTGATGCAACCGCCTGTTGCCGTACCAGGTAGGGTACGTTGCTACGTGTACGGTTTAGGCACTACCGCAGATATATGTATACGGTATGTACTATGTACCGATATCTGGAGGTTCTTCCATGCAGTGAATTGGTAGAGCAGACTGCCGTACCTACTGTCAGTATACCGGTACCCGTACTGTGGGTATGTACCGTACCGGTCCTGCTTCAAGCCTTGAAGGCTCATAAGGTACCGTGGTCCGCATAACATGTAGGTAGGTAGGTACCGGGCGCTCAAGTGGCTGACCTTTGGGCTCTCGAGTTGAATACGGTATGGTGTGTACGACGAGGTACGGTACCCAAGGGCCAAGAAGGATTGAAGCCTCCAGGTTTGTACCGTACGATAGATTTACCGTATTGAATACCAGTATGGCCCTCTTCCATCTAGCGGTCGGTCTTCCTTTCCTAAATTCCCATTGGCCAAAACCCCCTTTTAATACGGAGAACCGGTCTTACACTGAGCGGTCTTCCGAAAACTTCCGTGCCACGTCGGCGGTCAAGAAGTATTTATTTTACTACCGCTGGATTCCGCCGGTACTGAAATAATCCCACCGGTCTTCCGAATTGATCGGTGAACTCGGCCAATGAGAAGGCGGCGCGCACCGTGGGGGCTCGAAACCCAATGATTGAGTACAAGTCTGCACTGGTGTTTCCCTTTTCAACACGAAGACCGACCGGAAGAAGGACCGGAGACCTCTTCCATTGAGTAGCGGTCGGTCTTCAATCTTCTAAATTCCTATTGGCCAGCTTCACATTCCTCCGGTCTTTCTAGCTGGTCTTCCATTTTTGAATTCACGAAGACCGACCGCTAGATGGAAGAGGGGCCTATGTACGATAGTTTATATCGAAATTTAAAATGAGTAGATTGAGCATATTGAGCTATATACGTAATATATTTAACCACCCTTGAGGCGACGGGTGGAAATAACCAATTAAATCTGGGTTTATAGTGGGTGCGTGAGCGCAAGCAGATAGGTAGATTTCAATTTTCAGGGTTTACTATTTGGGCTGTTTTATTAGCTGGAAGTTCATCGTTCATAAATTCCTAGGCGATTAGTCTTGACGAAGGAGTTTTCTGGAGTCGACCGTGTCCGATTATCGATATTGCGTGACGCGGCCGTGGTCAGCGCCGATTTGGAAAATCTGCTGATGTCAATGACAAGAAATGAGTCCGGTCGGAATCTGACTCCTGAGTACTGACTGCCGACGTCAGTCACGCACCGCAAATGCTGGCGCAAGACCGGACGGCGAAGGCGGCGTTTCTCCTAGCAGTACTCCCTTCGCTGTGTCATCTCTTTCTGTCCAAACATGGACACCCACAAATTGACACTCAATATTTATATGGCTCCTCGGATCCGGATTCCGGTTCCCAGGCTCGCTGTCATGGTAGGTACGTCAGAACCAGACTCCGAAGTCAGCACTGCGGAGTCCGGACAGAGCCTGTAGCGTCATAAAATTGCCGGTGCCAGCATTCTACCGGCTTCCTTACATCCCTACCGGCTGACTGGGCGGTTTAGACTACCGGGTGACTGTCCAACATGGGCGCCTAGATCTATCTTAGCCGGCTCTCTCAACCGGTGGGTTCCAATAGACACCGGGGCATCTTTCATTTCAGGCCGGTTTCCTCTAGGAGCAGTGCTCAGTTGGTCGCAAATCATGAAGCTGATGACTCGGTGTCACCGTCTTCTTCAGATCAGCTGAGCTGGTTGAAAAGAAATGAGAGGCTGACCTTTCTCTTTGCCCCGCAGAAAATGGAGGCGGGGTTGGAGTCTCAGACTCAGAGATCTGGGCCGCAAAGCTAGGGGGATGCCTCTTTCGCCGGATGGAGAAGGCGAGGATCAAGGAGTGCGCCTCGGTTTATATTTTCTGCTGAGAATATCAGGGGTGCAAGGACGAAGTCTGGCAAAGGCCTTGGAAACATGTCAGAAGAAGGATCGGACAGTGATTTGGTGGTTGTAGAGAACGATTGGAGGCTGCAGACCAGAGAGGAGCATGATTGAGTGCTTCTAGAGCTGGATAAGAAGGTTCAGGGGGTTGTACCCATCTAAAACGAAGCAATGCAACCACATAGATGGTGAAGAAATCCGCGGTGTGCTTGGGGATTGCACCGGCACTGCCAGCTGAGGTACGCTCTGCCCTTGTTGGGCTCAGTTAGATGCAGTTTGGCATCGGTCTTCATCTCGGGGGTTGCTGTCCTAAAGTCCAGCCGCTGTCTTGCATACCCTGTACCTTTTCATCCGTTGTCTGGTTTGGTTTGACTTTGAAGCGGTTGCCACTTCAAGTACTTTGCTGAAATGCAGGGCGTTCAGTGGTCTGTTGTGAAACAAACACAGGCAGTGGCATCTTGTATACATCCTTCTCATGTAGCTTTATCCACCGCTTTTGTCAGTGAGTTCTGACATTTCAATGAAGGTAATCAGGGCGAGAAACCCTTGTCGAAGATAGCCTTTTTTAGTGCATTGTGTTTCTGCTGCCAACCTTTTGGCTTGCAATGCTTGGTGACCAATCTAACCTGGTGACCATCCAGTTTCAAAGTCACCTCTTTACCGTATGCCAAACTTGTTTGAGAGAACCTCGTCTTGTATTTGGGGAGTTGCAGGGGTGCATTTGGATGTTGCAAAACTCAAATATGGAGATCGTTGTAGCTTACTGCTTCTGATCTGATGATGGAGTCTTTAAGAAGTGATGAAGTGATACCATGTATTGTTAGCTGTACCTAGTAGAGGGAAAGGCCAAGCTGCTTCAGATGCGTGTCAACCTTTTGGGAGTGTGGGGATTTGATACCTGTTGCAACACTGCCGTGCATTACTGATACTGAAGTAGAGAAGCCTTTAATTCACAAGGTTTTGCTACTGTCTTTGCAATGAGAGGGTTGACAGGGTTGACCGGTTTGCTTGTCCCTGCGTGCTCATGTCGCATCTGATGCAAAGAACGCCCTTGGGAGGCTGTAAGCTGGTGCTCTTTCATTTGTAGTAGGTGCTGTTGCCTGCCTAAATCTAACTTGCAGGATCCTATGTCTTACCATGTTTCATCAAAAGAAACCATGAAGATTCGTGGGGCATGTAGCAGCTTGCCAAGTCTGTACATGCAGGACATCAATCTGAACTCCTATTCCTTTCCTGTGCAGGTCGCCTGTACGTTCACAAAAGGTCACTTTAGTCAGCCTGACAGACAAGCACAGAGGCCAGTCAGACCCTTGGTTAGCCAGGCAACCCCATACGAAACCCTAATTTGTCAACCTACCCATATGGTTACCAACCGCTTAGCTCGTCGCCCTTTGTTGTAGCGTAGTCTTTGCCCACATTCTTTTGGGACCATACAGTGCTGGCAAAACAGGCGACTTTCAATACAGCGCATAGGAAGGACAGGGACATCAGTCACAGCTTGCTGAAGCACCCGCCGAGGCTTTGCTCTGTCTGGACAAGTCCCGGGACTCAGCTTTGGTGGAAGTGACCTTACGTGTAGTGGCAAAGCTCGCAGGGTCAGTCTGTGAAGAGCAACAGGGCTTAAATGCGGCTTGCGCAAGCATACTTTGGCGGAAGCATAATTCTGAGTCAACTTAAGCAAATTCTCAGACAGTCAGCCGCCTTTTCGCATACACCTTTGCAGTGAACTAGCTAATTGGACCAATGCACTCAATGCACTCAGCTGGCAGGCCATGCCTGGGTTGCAGCCAGTCGCGGTTCCAGCAGCTCCCACCACTGTGGCTTAGACTCCAAGTCACTGCCTAGCAGAAAGGGTAGAAATGGAGAGCGAGCGCCTTAAGTCATATAGGAGATGGTATAAGGAGCTAGACGCCAGGAAGGCTGAGCTAGAAGAGGAGGGTTTGGAAGACCCCCGCACGCTGAAGCTCCTGGAAGGGGAGCTGCGCTGCCTAGAGGAACTGATCACGCTGGACTCCCAGCTTATGTTGCACCTGCCTGATGCTTGTGGACAGGGAGGCCCTCCCGATGCTGAGAGTCTCGTTTCAAGGTGAGGCTTGCTGCTTCATCAGCTCATTCTGGCCATCTTACAGGGGGGGGCTTTTGTCCGAGCATGTGTACTGATAGCTTGGCCTTTGCAAGCATGATTGGCTCTTTTACAGAGCTGGGACCCTCGGGCACCACCCTCGGGCACCTGCTAGTTGTCTTAGATGAATTGGCTGTACCTTCTTAGGAAGGGAAGGTGAACTCTTAGCGGACACCTGCTTTTAGTGTCAGGGGAAAAGTTGTAGAAGTTGGTGTTCCAGGGCTGAGGGCCACATGTATTGCAGCCCCCTTGTGCTTGGAAGTTTCGTGAGACTCACTGTGGGCAGCCAGACAAAATCCTGAACGCAGGTTGCCTGCTTAAAATGCGATTCCTCTATGATGGAGATTGTCCAAGGTTGTCTTTGTCGCTGCTGAAAAGTTTTTCTGCTTGTCAAAAAGTTCTTACACTTGTTGCAAGTTGATATGGTTGTGCTTTGAATGAAGCATGGTCCTTTCACCGAAGTCTTGCTGAAGTTGGTGTTGCTCTAACATCCATCTTGCCCTCCCTGTCATTTTGAAGTTTTGTGTTTTTTCAGCTGGAGCCTCGATAAGCCCCGTATTGGTGTCGCGGAGCTCAGTGTGTAAACCTGGAGGGTCTATCTGCAGTGCCTCATCTCTTGTTGCTCAATAATGCGCTGTAATGTAGAACCTCCTCCTTCGTCCTGGAAAGAGGCTATTCATGGAAAGAAGTTTCAGCTGTAGCTTTCAGTATCAAAAGGAAGGCATCCTCGCAGCTTTCAGAGCTTCCTTTCGTTGCATTGACTTCACTGAGGCTGCAGTGTCTTAGCACGCCCCTTTGGTGAGCTTTTTGTGTCTCCTGCTTCTTGCAGTTTTCTCCTGCTATTTTGTTCTTTCTGCTAGGACAAACCTACAGGCACAGTTGCGCGCCTCTAGCTCTCAACCGAGCCCTGTTCCCCCTCCCACTCAAGTGCATGATTTATCTTTTCTCTCAACCACTTCCCCACTTCTCTTCCCCCCCTTCTTTACTTCTTGTCCTTCCTTCTCCCAGCGCTGTGCTGAAGCACTTTGAAAGCCTAGGTCCCTCCAACATATCTTTCTTCCTTTGTCTTTCCAGGCTCTTTGTCTAGGTCAGAAACAGTGTCACTGGAGGGTTGAAGCTCCACTGTATTTGCATACTGTCCAGGGTGTCAGATATGCAGTCCTGAGCCCCTTCCTCTGCCTCTTCACCCTCAAAGGATACCTGATTGTTGATATGGTTTCTATGTGAAACAAGTCTGTCTTCCTTTAGTATGACAGACGCACCTCCCTTTCTTTTCAAAAGATTAGAGGTGATGCAGGTTTCACAGGCACTTGGAATCCCAACGTTTTGTTTTCTGCCCCCAGAAACGTATCCACATGGCCAGGCGACAGCGGCCTCCCCCCGGTGGAAGGCCTCGACCTCTCTCTAGTTACGGACATGCTCATCCTGAGCGCGACCTCCCCTTGGGTGGTATTTGTCGCGGAGCGCTTCAAGTGGAACACGGTCTACGTCTCGCCCAGTGCGAAAAGGCTCCTGGGGTGGCGGCAGCAGGAGCTGGTTGGCGTCCCTGTGAGCGACAGGTGTCATCCCGACGACGTGCCGACCATGCTCAATGTGAGTGTAGGGACCTCGCAGCTCAAACTGCTCAAAGTTTTTTCATAGTTCTTTCCAATCTCAACCAGCATTGAAACAAATGGTCACCTTTCCCAATTTCAGTGGCCGTATGAATCGTCTGTGCTATTCTACGCAGTCCACTTTGTGTGGTCCCAAATACCTGCAGCTTGATCTGTCTGTGGCATTGCTCTTTGGTGTCTGGCCCCTTCCATGAAAATTTTCAAACAGGTCTTCACTTTCTTTGTCACTATCAGTTGAAACGATTGCTGCTTGAGCAGTCTGGTGCAATGTTCAGCAGCTGTTAAGTATCACCCCCAGTGGCATTGTCATGCCCTCTTCTTGTAGTTTAGCTGGGCAATTACCGAATCTCGCTTGTCTATGTCAGTCATGTTAGGTAGTGCTAACTTTACTTGGTCAAAGTGTGTCCAAGTTTGGATAGTCAAGCCCGCATCCTAAAAACCCTCCTCTAGTAGTTACAGCTTTTGAATGTAAGAACCTTCTAAGAACCAGCCCCCCTGGACAAGGGGTAACTGCTCAATATCAAGGCTGTGAGACCAAACTCATGTCAACCCAGTTTCCTCTGCGCTGGCGCACTTTCTCACAATAATCCACTTTCCTCTGTGCTGATGCAGATGTTTAATGCGGGCGCAAACTCTTCCGGTAACAGCCTGTACTACCGGAGGATGCGGCGCGACCGGAGCTACGTGGCAGTGCAAGGGACGGGGCGCATCCTCGGGCAGCGGTGGTTCGCTTGGATGGAGTTGCTAGTCGCCGAAGCAGAGCCAGCGCCGCCAAGCGGGGTTGGGGTAAGTATTGGTGGCAAGGTTTCTTATGAGCGTACTTACGTCTGGTTGATTTGGAGGTTGTGATTTTTGAGTGGAAGCCCGAGTTCGCATGGACGGAGTTACTGGTCGCTGAAGCAGAACCAGCACCGCCAAGCGGCGTTTTGGGGTAAGTTCCTGAGTGAAGTTAGGGCTCGGTTCAGTATTTCGAAGGTCTCGGTTTTGTTTGTTCTGTGAGTTGCTTTGTTTGCAGACAAGGTTAAGATACTTGTGGTTTATTGTGACGAAAGGTTGCTTCAATGGAGTTGCCGGTTGCCGAAGCAGAGCCAGCTCCGCCAAGGGAGCTGGGGTAAGGTTTTGTGCAACGTTTTCCCCGCTTGTTGGAGCTCTTGTTTATATTTGTTTTGTATGTGCAATGGTTGCAGACGAGGTGGAAATTGTGGCGATTAAGCTAACACTAGTTTGCTTGGCTGGAGATGTCGGTTGCCGAAGCAGAGCCGGCATTGCCAAGCTGGGCAGGAGTAGAGTTCTGTGCAAAGTTTTGCAGTCTGTTGAAGTTGTCATTCCGGGTAGTGGTGATGCGGTGTGGGCGTGACGGTCTCCTGCGAACCGCTTGGGTCTCCTGCGAGTCGTAATTGATGTGTCTATGTCTCTTGTCCGTCTGATTCAAAGGCGTCTCGCCAGGTCCAGATTATTGATCTGGCTGGCCAAGGCTACGTTTACATGGTCAGTTTTCTTTTCAAGCAATTTTGTCCTTCAATCTGAAGGATGAAACCTCTTCTCCTTGGTTTTGCAAGATCGAAGCGTGCACCCGATCCACCAATCTTGCATTTATTCAAGTTGGTTTTTGTCCTCCTTTCCGTTTTCTTGATTCTGGTCGGACCTTCCAGAATGACTAGTGCACCTCTGTTCTGGACCTGCTTGAAAAATAGATGAGGTGACACCTATACTAAAGAGCACCCGCCCTCGTTTTTGCAGTCCCCAATGAGGCGTGCCAGCCCCCCCTCCCCCCCCACGTCAGCACGCTCACGGCTGATGAGGGCCCCCACCCCCCCGGACATGCCAAGCCTGCCGGCCACCGCTTTCTTCCCGGGGGCCGGCAACAGCTCTTTCGCCTCTTTCCCTGCGGGGGGCAACTCTCTCGCGTCGTCCCGCAACCTCTCCTCCCAGTCAATCAACGAGCTGGTCGCAATGCCGTCCGTCCGGCACTCTCTGGGGGGCAGCCCGCCAGCTGCCAGGCAGTCTTCGAGCGCCCCCCTGAACGAAAAGAAAGAGTTGGTTCACTCCATCGGGGGGTCATACGTGGAGCCGCAAAGGGCGTCCACTGGGGCTCTTCCAGTGGGGCCGCTAGAGATGGTGCGCCGGAAAGGGTCGCGGCCGACGTCTCCCCTCTCGGAGCAGGACTCGGAAGTGAGGAACTTAGCTGGAAGATTGAATGTTCATCACGTGCTTGTCACTTCCTCCGAGCTGATTCTTTGCACGGCTTTGGGTTGTACATCGACTAAGTCTTGTATGGCACATCAGAAAAGGAGGCAGTTTCTGTTGAGACGTGGGGTCCACATTGGGCAAGCTTCCGCTCGTCACAAATCTCAATTATTGCATAGCACCTGGGCTGCTCGCCTCGCTTGCTCATCTTGCACTTTATGTATTCAGCGACCACATCATCAGAACTGTATTGCAAGGCAGTTTCACAATGTCTGGAAGGTTCACATTGAGTTTTGGTTCTGTCTCTCGACTCCGCCTTTCTCTTCCGCGACAATCGTTCTTGGCCATAGAGTTTCGAGTAGGGAGGAAGAAACGCGTCTTCTCTCGTTCCTGCATCCCATTCTCTCTCAAGAGCTTTTGCAACCGTGTCTGATCATGAGAGGCTCGAGTAGGATCTGAACACAATCTTTCTGTCGCCCTTGCAGCAATCTTTCAACAGCGGCCGTTACAACGGCCAAGACGTCCTGGGCTTCAGCCACAGTACCGGCGCCCTGGGGCTGAGCAGTTCCGCTCTCAACCGAACGATCCGCCCGTCCGAGGGACTTCGCTCAGAGACCCTCGTATCTATGGTGCGTCGCCCCCTAGTTTTGAGAGCTCTCTTTTGAAGCTTATCGCAGTGCAGGCTTTGTCCGAGGTTCTTCTTGCAATTACTTCGTGATTCCTCGGGAGTTCCCTTTTTCTATTGCTCCGCTCATGTTTGCCACTTCTCTTCTTTGCTGCACTTTTTGACAGGTGTCCTGGGCTGTGTAGCATGCATGAAAGCCCCTGAGATGATTGCTTGTGCTACAGAGCTGCCTCTAAGGCCTTCTCACCATAGCTCACTCCTGCATATTTCGTTACTTAATCGAGCTTTGCTGTGTACCCGGCTCTCCGCTTTTCATACTGTCCTCAGAACTGGCGCACTATTTCTTGACATTTGCGGGGACGAAGCTTAGGGGATTGCTGTGTTTCTACTGTCAAAACGCCGTTATACCCGGTCGTAAACTTCCTTTCATCTATGCATATCGACCCATTGGACCGGTCTTACTTTCCTTTCATGTTCCAAAAGCTATTTCTTCGGTTATTGGTTCTGGATGTGCAAATGCTTTGATTACAGTTCTTGAATTCCGGATTTGCAAAAGCTTTTATCCAGTTCTTGGTTCCGGGTCACTGAAATTGTCTTCCTTCTCTTTCTGCAGAACTCCGCCGAGCGCCTGCGAACCCTTTCTCACCGCAGCTCCCTCCGGGGGTCCGGCTCGAGCGGAACTCCCAGCAACAGCTCCCCCAGTGTCGAGAACGGCGCCCCCCTTCTCCCGAGCGAAATCAAGTTATTCCCGCGCCAGGGGGCTCAAAATGAGCCGCACATGAGCCCCCCCTCGCAGCCGCTCTCGCGCAGCGGGAGCGGTTCCAGCGGCGGGGGGAAGTCGTTGCCCCCGGGGACTTCAAAAGTGGGGCTCGAGTTTGCGTACGGGGCCCTCGTCGGCGAGAAGGAGGGGGAGCGGGAGCTTCTGCGGACGTCCGTGGATTACGAGTCCGTTTTGGACGCGTCCGGTTTGGTGGGCACTCCGCTGTACAAGGAGGCGAGCAACGTGGATCTGGGTGAGTAAAGGAAGCCTTAAATTTTGCGAAAACGCCTTTCAAAACTTTTAGATCACCTCGCAGGCGTCTTAGACAAGATGGTTCTTGTTTGTACGTTTCCTCGCTTGGAGGTCATGCGTTCTAGGCCATTTAAACCGGACGTATGTAGTCAGTTTCCAATTCTGGGTCAACACATATCCAGAATCCAGGGTCAAACTTTCGAGCCTCCAATTTCTACGGCCCCGGTCCACGAGGAATGTAAGAACGTTGCTAGTGAATCTTTACTTCCTTCTTTTTTCGCGCGGTAAGGTTGTTCTCCCGGTTCCGATGTTGAATATCCAATCGCTCCGGAATCTGAGCGGAGGCCGCTGTTAAACTCGTTGATGAGGCTTCGGTCGTTAAACAAAGTCGCTCCCCTCTCAGCGACAACTGAAGTTGTGGTTTGAGAGAATGTTCAAAACTCGACGGAGTATCGTCCTCGGACTTGGCTGATGAACAGGAGTGTTCTCGGCTCCACGACATCCCAAATCCCCCACATCTGAAACTGATACCTTAGAACCTTGAGGATCTAAACCCCACAAAAGCCTCTCTTTACTTCGAATGTCCATCAAAGCCCCGTTTTCCTGTCGTGCAGATGACCAGGAACGCTGGCGGCTTCAGAATGAGGAGAGCAACTCCGATATCGGCCTCTCAAACTCGATCCTCGTGCCCGTCTCCGGGGGAGCCTCTCCCAAGCTGCCACCTGTCAGCGGTAAAGTGGCCGGAGAACCCAATTCCCGATACCGGACCCGACCTGCCCCCCCCCCGCCCGTAGGGCTTATGGCACCCCCCCGACGACTCCGTTTGCGGCGGAAGTTGCGGCCCCCGTTCCTCGCCCCCCGGGGGGGAAGCCCGAGGGGGAGTTGGACGGGATCCGTGGGGCGCGCGTGCTGCTGGTGGAGGATGATGTCACCAACCGGACGGTTGGGCAGCGCCTGCTGGAGAGCCTGCACGTGAGTCTTTCGGGAGTTGCTTATATGGTTTGTGAGTTGTGAGTTGCCGTCTGACGGCGGTGCAAGTGACTTTGGAACTCGAAGCGAGCTTGAATTCTGAGAAGCTCTAGGTCCGGGTCTGGAACTTTTTTGTGGTTTGATTGTCCTTTGCTTGCGAAGCTGGCTTGGATCGCTTCAGCGGAGTGGAAGACCTGACGATGTGAACCCAACGACTAAGATTGAGAATATGCTTGCCATGTGGTTCTGGTGTTTGACGGATATCGAGAAATAGGACGTGTTCGAAAGGTTTGTGTTTAAACCTTGAAAGTGCGGTGTGATTTCGCAGCTTGCAAATATTGACATGGTTGAAACACCGTATGTCTAGTGAACGTGAGGCACGGAGCAGCTTTTCGGACCTAAAGAGCTTCTCGATTGTTTGTGGTCGCTGAACTCTCACAATCAGAACCCTCTCCCGCTCTCTTTTTCTGTGTGGCCCAGCTTTCTGTTGTAACTTCGCTTCTGGCCCAAAGGCGATATCGAGGACCTCTCTCTGAACCTTCTTTGATTTGGCTCTGTTCTGGATACGTGGAACTGTCCGCTTCGATCCCGCACTGAGAGGTGACCATTTCCAGCGGCAAGGAAGCTTTAGTTTGTGAGGCTTACCCTCGAAAAGGACTTCCCCTTTTCAAGTCTATGGATGGTCTTGAGTGAGCACATATTTACCGTGCAGCTTAAATCTCGTCCCACGCAGTGCGAGATGACTGTTACGTGCAACGGCAAGGAAGCTTCAAAGCATGAGGGCAAGCAGGAAATTCGTTTTTGGCGTGATTCCTGAGAAGAACGGACTATGTGAGGATACACAAATGAAAGTGGATTCTGTGAGGAGCACAATGTCATGGTTCTGAATCGCTTTGGCTTCCCCCACGCAGTGCGAGGTGACTGTCACGTGCAATGGCAAAGAAGCCCTGGAGGCGATGCGGGGCAACCCGGAGGACCCCTTCTCTCTCTCGGAGTTAGGGGAAGACGAGGAGCTGCCCCCGCGGTTTGACCTGGTGTTAATGGACCTGTTAATGCCGGTTATGGACGGGTTACGAGCGGTGGAAAAGTTCCGGGACGAGGAGCAGGACCAGAAGCCCCGGCGCAAGCGGATGCTCATCTTTGCGCTCACGGGGAACGTTTCGGGTAAGTTTCAGGGGTTTAGGGTTTCTGAGTACGTGGTCAGCCTTTGCCTTTAAAAGCTTGACCTGTCACAGGTGGCCACGTGGCAAAGCGGAGCCGTAAGAACGTGTTCGTGTCAATTAGTTCGTTCTGAAGCAGTCTCCTTTCAAATTGGGCCATCCTTGCGTTTGTAAGTGGGGCTGGAGGTCTTTTTGTTAACCACTTCAGCAGTTTGGTCTGGCGGCAGGAGCAGAGCAGGAGCAGATGTCCCGGCCTCAGAAGGAGCTCTTTCGTGCACTCTCTTTGAACCTCTTGAGTGAGTTTGGGGGATCTGGCGGGTTTGTCTTTCTGGTGTATAGGGGGGAGCTTGCAGTATAGTGACTGCAGCATGTTGTTACTAACACGGAGTTGAGGTGATGCTGATAACCAAGCTAGTTCTGATTTAAAACGAAATGCAGACCGTTCTATTCAGTGGCTAGGTAAGAGTGGGCCAACGATGCACGTTACTCAAAAGGGTCACAGTATGTGTTGCGGCAAACAGGCTTGTTGGATTGCTCTGAAATCTGGCTAATTCATGTTTTGGAATCATTTAAGGGCCGCCGAGAGGTTTGGCCTCGGACTCACATATGAGGACTTTCTGCAGTCTTCGCAGATGATCAATGTGAGCGAGGAGCTTCACAGTTTCGCAACTCATGTCGCCACAAACGCTGTCTACAAATGCTTTTCGACTTCGGCCTTTGCCTCAGACTGCTTACCCCTTTGTGCAGATGGCGACATGGTCAAGTGTGCCCAAAGTGGCTTCGACGAGTTTGTCAGCAAACCGCTCACTGTAGAGAAGCTTCTCCATCGGCTGTACGGCGTTTGCAAAACAACGGATCGATTCCCTGGGTTGCGTACGAGCAACTTCGCGTTGCCTTCTTAGTAGGTGGATGCATAGGTCTTCTTTTCTTTCTAGAGGCATGCGTGAGTGGTCTCAGCATGGGTCCAAAGTGGCCGGACATAGCAAAGGGGGTGGGCTGTAGGTGAGAAAGCGACTGTACAAAGCGTTGCCCGTGATGAGATACTTGAGACGGGGGCATGGAACAGCTAAACGAATGTTGGGCATTAAGTATGAGCCAGCATTTGTTAGTGGTTGAAAGCGAACCCTGTTTGCGGCTTTGAGTACTAATGCCGGCGTTAGTTACTAGACAACTTGACGTAGGGTCGGTCGTTTAGCAGTTTACTATTAGGAAGTTTCGCACGAAATGCTTATTGTTTGCATCAGTAACTCCAGTACGCCCTTAAGGCACCTAATGTCCGTTTGGCATTTGTAGAATAAGGGACATCGGAGTATTGCCTGGCAAAGTCAAAGTAGCACATGTTTCAAGGTTTCGTGGACGATCAGTATCTAATAGATTTGCGTTGAAAACACAGAGGTTGTTGGCCATTGCTCGATTTCGGATCTGCAATCAATCAATCACTAAGTTGCATTGCTTGCACTTGGTGTATGTAAGTCTGGCCGCCTTGTCATTTCGAGCTTGTATTGCCCGTCAGTTTGTGTCGAGATTGTCCAACAGATTACTTGGATCGTCGGGCTGTAAACTCGCATGCAAGACCAGGAAATCGTTGAGTATCGCATGAACCACACTAAATTTTACCTTTGTCACGACATGCGCGAGCAGGCCCTTTTCGCAACCGTACGTGATTCAATGCACTAGCTCCGGCTACTACATGGAATCGATGCGAATCGGCTTACATGAAACATCATGACTATAAGAGTCACGTACAGTGACACTCTTGAGTCCTAGCGCTCAGCTGCTGCCGTGACGCGGGCGCGCCTAGCTCGATCATGCATCGCTTGCCTCACTGAGTAAAGTGCTTACTAAGTATCCTCTAGTACCGGCCGGTCACGAGACCTGCCGCGCGCCATGAGCGACGTTCCCCCGACGGTCACGGAGCTAGTTATTGAATATACAAAGCATGCGAGTACGACTCCAATCAATCAGCACATAAGTTAGTATACCGTATACTAATATATATGTAGTACAAGTGACTCACTGCCAGAGTAGTGACAGTATGTCCAATTATTGATGATTGATTGAGCCCCCGCGCGCCTGGCCTATACCGTCTATAAGATTCAATGCAATGCCTGGCAGGTCACTTAAGTTTAAGTTTCGCCGTATACTACTAAAGCGGCCAAACTTGAAATTGCATATATATAGGCTTTTTGATCGATATCATTGGCGTACATTTAACATATCACAATGTGCCGGGTTTGATGACGTCTCTTTGATGGTCTCTTTTCAAATACCTACGCCGCAACCAAATATAGGCCATAGGCTTCTCATGGCACACAAATGTTTTGAAGTTCGTGAAAGTACATGCCAGCTAGCGGGCCCAGGATCAACACACTTCCCTATCAACCTACCGGGCAAAGCCTCAGGGGCCCGCACCGAACGGCCAGCCAGCAACTCTGCGCAAGAAAGGTTTTGACTCTGGCGCCAGCCAGGGGAAAATTCGCCGGAAAATCCTGGCGGCCGGCCAGGGAGGACCGTAAGCGGGCAAGCAGCCCGCCAGGATTTGACGTTTTTACCGGAATTTTGAATTTTCCAGCCAGAAAAACCACTTTTTTACCGGAAAATTTTCAAAACCAGCCAGGATTTACCGGAAAAATCCTGGCTGGCGCCAGGATAAAAAATACAAATATAGGATCCACTTGCGCGGAGTTTACCTTCGGTGATGGCTCCTGAAGCCTATCCGAACTCTACGTATCATGAGTATCAACAGTAGCTTTCAATCGTGGCTCGGACCCTCCGTCTATGTCATGCACAGCCTCTGTAAGTTCGAAGGGGCTATGAAGATCTCGAAAGGCACCGCCTTGATTGCACGCGCGCCGTCCGCCGTTAGCCAATACTATAACAATAACAATAACAATGCCTGTAGCCTTACTCAGCGGCTGCAGCGTGCGCGGCCGCGCCGGGCCCGGCCCTGGCAGCACGCGGCGGCTGCGGCCGTGCAACCGTAACGGTCCGCGGCCATAGCCGCCCGCGGGCTCCGGCGCGGCGCGGTCCGATCGACACCCGTTAAGTTGCCAGCTAGTACGTGATTTCGTAGATCGACGGCCGAGATTAGACTTCCCATGAAATTGTCTGGTGCGCGAGCAGGGGTTTGTTGACTGGCTGGTCTGCAACTGCTGCAACTTGCCGGGCGCGCACCAGGCTGGCCGGACCCGTGCTGACCAATCGACGACGAGCTGCAGGACTCGACACCCTAGCAACGCCACTCAAATCATAGAGGCCCTATTATTCTGAGGATGACGTTGGTCTGACATCCAGCTCCTGATCCTGTCCCGTGTTACTGAGTGACGATAAGTATGAATTGGAAAAGCCAGCAATCATTGAATGATTTACACTGAGTCATGAGCTGCTAGCTTTGTTTAATTGCTCTATGCAGCCAGTGTACTTGACCTAGTTCGCAAGCGGCCTGCACCTGAGGCAATGTGTATCCGATCGTAAAGTCCTGTGCACGTGTCGATCCGTGGCCACGTGAAGTTAGCATGACTTAAAACTGATCCAATTGGCGGCAGTCCAGCCTGAGCTCCCTAGTACCTAAGCTCAGTTGTGAAAACCGTCATAGATGGTCAATTTATCTTCTTCACACAGATATTCGTTTTGCCAGCAGGCTGTTGCAGGCTGTTGCTTAGTCACCGTGACGATTGAGTCACTGAGTGGCCAAGCGCTCAAAAGGGACTACAGACAAGGCAAGGACATGACAACTTCTTCAGACTGCCTGGCATAAGGATAGCTGGCGGCCCCTTTCTTTATCAATACATCATGCCAGCTTGTTGAACGATGCGGATGCACGCTTTGGCTATATATGGTGGATTTCTGCCCAACAGTGGGTTTAAGGACGTCCAAGAAGCTCTACGGCGGGTACAACGATTCTCTGTCTGATGACCTGAAACATGGGGACATAGCTTACGTAGGAGCTGGCTGACTCTGCTGAAGCATTGTGAACTTTACGTTTGTGAAGGAGAAAGAGAGACTGCAATTGAAGGTTGCAAACTGTGGAGAGGACTATGATTCGCAGGTAAATAGGAAGTTGGGGCCCTTTCTGGGAGAAAAGATGGTGGTTCCTATAGGTCCCCTCAGAAAAGCGTCCCAATGCTCTGCTTTGCGGGAGAGAAAGAGAGACTGCCAAATCATAGGTTGGAAAGTAGGGAGAGGACTATGATCTGCACGGTTGAGTAGATACTTGGGGGCCCTTTCCTTGAGAAAAGATGGTGTCCCTGATAGAGCGCCTCAGAAAGGCGTCCCAATGCTCAGCTTCGCAGGAGGGGACTGGCGAACCACCCGAAGCGGGCATGAGTGCGCTTACCTCAGCAAGGAAGTCAAGCACCAGCTATCCTGCGCCAGACTTAGAACAGGGAGAGGATGTGCAAGCGGCACCAGGGCAGAAGAAGAAAAGGTTTCTGAAGAAGTATGACATTCTCTTCCTTCGGCTGGCAATCATGGTGAGCAAATAGACAAGAGAATGCTTGGACTTGACACCACAAGCTGTCCCTATCCATAAATTTAGCAATCTAAGTGATGAACCTTCTGATATGATGAGACCTTATCACTCAATTTCCTTGTGCATTTTATTGGCCCCAGTCCTTGCATCCTTCTAACCAAATTGGTAAAGACACAACTCTACACCTTCTTACACTTGGTTTCCTAACTGTCAGTCAAATGGATCGAAGCTCAAACACGGGCAGGCAGTTCTTTCGAATCCGGTTACGTTCTCACTTCGAAAAGAAATACCGCCTAAGTCAAATGTGCTATAAGGCATTGCCAGAAGTCACAGGCTGGCCTTTCCAAAATGAACCTACTTTTCTGCGATTGCTGGCTGTGTATTCGAAGGACTTCTTATCTTCTGCGTACATGCTAACTTGACCAAGCCTAGCAGGCCTACTCTACCAGCTCCCCTTCAATGCATAGGGCATTCTAGTCAGCGGAAAGAGGACTAAAGCGGACCAGTCAATGGTGCCACAGATAGGCCAAACTCAGTCTCAAATCAGCTAAAGCCTGAAATCCCCCGACCTGTGGTTGTAGAGAGCTGCAGTTGGAGAATCGCTTACGTATGGTTGTCAAGGGTGAATGATCCAAGACTTTTCGTGTTTGTCCAGAGGTCCTCAGATTTGAAGTTGAGTCACAAATTAGGTCCTAGCCTCAAGGAACAAACAGACGCGCAGGAGCCACGTACGAAACCCATTGGCAGAGTCTTCTTTCTCCGTACGCGAAATCAAAGAGAGTTGACTAAGCATCGCATATCTCTTTTATTCATTTTTTTCCGAGCACTTTTGCTACTGAATGTAGATCTCTGACGAACCGCTCTTCGCGTGTGCAGTTTACGCTGGCCTGCCTCCTATCAGGCAGCACCGCCCTGAGTTTCTTCTTGAGCAGCGCAAGGTGCCGCGACTCGCTGACTCAGCTCGTCCAGTCGTATCAGAACGACCTCATCGAACGAACTTCGGACGACGTCTTCAATCTTTTCGGGAGTGGCGAACTTTGCGCGAGGTTCTTAGTGGGATCCATGCAAAGGATCCACGCTGCGCGAATAAATTGGACGAACGACACCATAGATGATCTGGTAAGCTTATCTGAGGCTATGGTTTACCCTTCCTGTTCTAGTACCTGTTAATATGTACTGCAGGGCTTCCTTCATACAAACCGGTCGTTTCACTATGGCCTACTTCTCTTCTTTGCAGCTTTTGGCTCGAACATAGTGAAACTTCTGCTAAATTTCTATTCAATCTGGTGTTGAATGGCTTACTCGAGCAGGGAAGGTGCTTTACAGTGCACAGAATCAAGCTCAATCTATTCCAAATGGCAACCTCTGATCAGTCATGACACAACCGCATGAGACAGTCTACGGTGGGTTTGATCAATGCTCTTAAACGCCGAAAGAGTATCGCAAGTAGCACAATCTGTGGCTTGAAAGGTCGAGCAGAGGAATTGGACTCTCTTTGATTTCGAGAGAGGTTTGCAACTGGCAAATTCTGTCGTTTGAAAGGTCGAACAGAAGAGGGAACTCCTGTGAAAAGGCGCCTTTGAAAGGCCTGCGGCTCCGTTGTGATGTGACACTTATCGTATCTGCAATCGAAGTCGGATTCACATTGCGCATTCCGAGAACAGCTTTTCTGAAGAGTGCACAAATGATAAGGCGCTTCGCAGGCGCCTTTTCAAGAATGGAGCGTCATTGGCGTCGCTTAGTGCAAGACCGCCAATATTTTCGCCGCAATATTTTCTCCGCGCTATTTTCACCGTAAGATTTCCACCGCAGATCAAAGAAGCAATCTTCGGCACCTTCACCGACTGCGCTCAGACGTCCTCGCTCGGGTTCTTCAAGGGAGACGGCACTTACATTTCGATCAGCTCGAGTGACAAATTCACGCTGGGGAATAGTACTACGTCAAGTCGTATCCAAATGATGTTCAACAACGAGACGACGCCCGCAGGTCAACTGCCTCGAAGGTTTACTACGGTGAGGCATATGTTCTAACGTGGCTTGAAAATCGCTTTGAAGCTGGATTGTGCTGTCTGGAAACCCTTCCATCTATCGCCATTGTGCTGTCCGCAAAGCCTTGTGCTGTCGTATTAAAGTGTGGAAGAACTTCAAGGGTGCGCAGACTTATGCGCTTCAGTGATCGGTTTCGAACGCAGCACGTTTACCAGATCGACAATAGACGAAGTTTCCGCCCTTATTCACGGTTGGTGGAACGGAAGCTAGCTAACCAGACGTGAACGGTCCTCGCCTAGAAGAAGGACAGCCAACCAATTGACTAACCAGCTGTCTTGGTTGACGATGGTCTCTTGCTGCAAAAATCTAATAGCCGACCATGCCAGGCAAAGCAGGAGTTGATTTCAATCACCTGCGCACAGCGGATTTTTAAGGGCTCACGGTGTCCGCCAAAGCTCCAAAATGACTACTTTCCTAACCACGCTTTGTTAGAGAGAAACTAGTACTGGAAGTACGCGGCTCTAGTTTGACCCACGAGTTAAGGAGCCTGAAAGAGCCGATACCAACCATGCTCTTCAGGGACGGGCAGACTTTCCACGCATTTGGCGCCCTGTCAATCAATGAGACTGGTCACATGAAATCATTGATCAGATGCTCTCACAGTACCGACATCAGTGCAGATGCGAAAATTTCGCCTAGCTCGCTTCGAATATTGTGCTGGATATTCGTTCACCTACGCTGGAAAATCTAGCATGTTTACCCGTTTAGCGCCAAAGAAGCAGAATTTTGCACTTGCAACTTGCACTGTTCTTTTCGCAGCTTACCGATCTCGCGCAAACGTTTTGGACAATGAAGGATTGAGAGAACTCTACGAAATCTTTACAAGAATCCCGAGGGCCACTCTTACCGGAAACACGGGCTCTCTTGCTTTGTCGGCCATTCAGAAGCCACTTTCGGACGTCTCGCTACAGTAGATTGAAATGTTATCCTACTCTCTGGATCCCTCCTCTTTGGGCGATAAGTACCCCTGATCTCTGTAACGTCCTCACTCTTGTGCGACATCTAACCCTACTCTTCGTAACCCTCCTCTTTCAGCAATACTAACTCTCCACTTTTTGCGACAGTACCTGGCAGAAGACACGGGCGAGCCCCTCAGCCCGCCGCGCGAAGTCGCGCGGCTCGACCCGCGCGCGCGCGACTGGTACAATCAGGCACTGCACAGCGCAGACGGGCTGGCTGAGCAAGTTTTGGTCGGCATAAGCGGGCGGCCGCAGTTGTCCCTCGGGAGACGCGTTACCCACCCGACCAACGGCCGAGTCTTGGGCGTGATTGGATTGTCCTTTTACCTGACGACGATTAGTCGCTACATGAGCGAGTTCGACCTAAAGGGGGGGCTGATGTATGTAACAAATGGGACCATGCTAGTTGCAGACACAGTCGGGGATTACGCGGCGGCCACCAACGTTTCGACGGGGGGCCTTTTGCCGGCCAGCCAGTCGAGCAGTCTAGTTGTGCGCGAGTCGTTTGCATATCTGAAGAGCGTGGGGCAGGGTAATATGAACGTGTACTCACTGAGCGGGGGGCAGGGTATAAACGCGTCCGACGCGAGTAGTACGTTCCGCGAGGTGCGCCTGGGCGGGGCGCCGTACTTTTTGCAGTACAAGTACCTGCAATTCCGCAACATCGTTCTACGGCAGGTGCGTGGTCTCGATCCTTATGGTGAAATACGGCTACAAAGCAGCGATAGCGAGTCTTAATATGCAAATATGCTAACTTCCATTCAAGCATATGACGTTTCTCGACTTGTCGGCACGAAAAATTCCGTTTTACCTTCCGGTCCTCCAATGGCCATGGTGAATCTAGCATACTTAGAGTGAGCATCAATCAGAAGAGAGGACATGAGGGGAAAAGAAGGGGATTTGGCAGTCCCGTCCCATCTTGTCCACGTACTTTTCCTTGATCCTGTGAACAAGATTATACATAATCTTATGTTGATTCAGGTCATGCCCGGAAGACGAGTGCGAGGCGCATGAACTTTGAATATCGGTTTTTTGTTTTTTATGAGCCCGGGGAACTAATTATCTAACTCAGCATACACCTGGTTCAACATAAAATTGGGACTTTTTGGCAGGTCATGGTCCTCCCGCGCGACTCCATCATGCGGCCCATAGACAGCGGCGCGCGTTACACCAAAGCAATCGTCATCGGCGTAACGGCCGCGACCTGCGCGCTAGGGTTTCTGCTGATCGTGCTGTTCACGGATCCTGTCAGCAAGGAGATGCGGCTCAAGGCGCAAGTGATTGAGAATCTGGAGGGGAGGCGGCAGGCGGAGGCGCGAGAGGATTTCAAGACGAAGTTTCTGGCGAGGACCAGGTGAATGATCTATTCAATAAGCAAAACCCTATCCAAAACCCTTTTCTCTAGAGCATGCACGTGCCAGCTTTTAGCGTGACGACACAGCTTTGATACGCCGAGCGTTCGGATCCATTTCGATCCAGATTAGATCTAATTCTGTCCGAGCCCACATCCGAACCGCACAATTCGGATCTGGTTCGGACCTGGTCTGGAGAAAGCCTTTTTCTAAAATCTGAGCCTTGGAGCGGAAGTCAGTACTTCTTCCCCACAGTGACAAGACAGAATGCTAGTGGTGTGTCGTTCATAATTTTCACAGATCGACAAAGCTGTGCGTTGTCCGATCTTCAGAATAAGTTCTTGCCAAGGTTGAAAAGTCGGAGCTGAAGATTAGGGGTCTCCAACGTGCCAATCACTCTTGCGTACTTGATTCCACTTTGAAGCGCTTGACCTTCAAGCCGGGAGGGTTCTTAGGAGGAATAGGTAAACGAGCTAGTCGGCGTTTTCGCATTTGTCTTCTTTATCAAAAAAAAATTTAGGAATTTCGATATACGAGCTTGTCAATCTATTCCGCATCACATAGGAGGGGTGTGGCTGCTGATAAGGCTTGATAAGCAGATCTTTGAGACCGGTTATTTGTCCAAAGCTCGGGCTGCGAGCATGTTAAAAGGCCGGTTCCTGCTCGAAGCTGGTCACTTTACTTCTAACCAACTATGATCAATCAGCTCCAATATTAACGGAGCTTGCTTAACCGGCCTTGATTGACCAACCTTGGTTAAGCGCCGAAACCGAAAGACATATTGCGTGCAGCCATGATCTTCGGACCCCCTCCGCGGCTATGCTGGGGCTGCTCGATGTGATTTTGGAGTCTTCGCTGGAGACCGATCAAGCGGACCGAGTGAAGCAAGTCAAAGAGTGCGCGCTCACACAGCTCAAACTGCTGAACGACATCCTGGATTTCAGCAAGGTCAGGACGAAATCTCAACAACCACCCTCCCTGTTCTAGCGATTGTTCTGATGAAATACTTTCTCAGAACCGGCAGTTTCAGCTTTGAACGTTCTATCTTTTGTGCTACATAGCTTTTGACTTGAACCGACTGGAAGTCCGCTTTCTTTGTATTTTCCTACTGGACGGCCTACTGGATTAGGAGGGCGATTTTCTGAGTATCGATGTCAACTTTGAAGATGACTTCACAGGCGATCGGAAAGGTTGACCAGCTTCTATGCTCTTTCACAACCTTCCGCAGGAACAAGACTCGTTTGGTCTTTCTCCGTTCGATTCTAGCATAACTGCCGGTGTTCCTTGCGAGACAGCACAGGAGCGTGCAAATTTTGCGCAAAGCTTCCTTCGGGGGCATCTAAGACTCTGGTTTCGCAAAGCGGAGCATGCGAAGATGCTTCGAGAAGAATGATTCACATCTTTTCTTTGCTGTCCTTTAAATCTCTGGACCAAGGCACAAACACCTGAACTGAAGAGCAGGATATCAATGAATTCCGAACGTCTTGAGACCAGGTCTTTAACTGCTTGCCGCTTGCTGAGGCCAAAAGGGCGCTTGGTGAATATTCAACTGGTGCACGAGAGCACATTGCGAGTCGCAAAAGCCCTATCTTTTGTGGAAACCATTCAGTTAACTCGTTCCGGTTCCATTCCCTGTGCAGATTGAAGCAGGAAAGATGCAGCTCGAGAACGAGCTGTTCGACATAGGCAATCTGCTAGAGTCGCTGGTTGATATCTTCAGCGTACAATGCACAGCAAAGGGTCTAGAAGTTGGCTTGGACATGGACAGTGAGCATATTCGCACTCGCTTCGCCCAACGATCCAAACCCCTTGTCCTAGTCTTTGTTCTGTATAACATATTCATACAAACGGGCCTTTTTAGCATGTTCTAACACCCTTCTATGCAACTTTCGGTCAAAATGTGCGCTTTGCATGCAAGTTCGTGCTAAAACGGGTTACTAGAACCGGCGGGGTGAATGTCAGTGTCGATCTTCAGAAGCAGTTTGCCTCCTCTCGTGCTCATTTTTGTTCATCGCTCAACTGCAAGCATCTACATGCGGGTGAAATCTGACACGCAAGGGCAACTCCATGGATCATCTTTAACGTCACTTCAAACTTGAAGCGTCACAAATCCGTCTTACGCAGCGCTCTGTCAAATTCATGAACCGTTTTTGTAACGTTTACTGACAGTGCTGCCCACGGTTCCAGGCAATCTAATCTAATCACCGCACTTGATAAAGAAGATTCTGGGATCTTTGGAATTCACTATTCTCGGATCCACTCTGATCAAGTCCAAGCAGGATAAACGTTCTCAGATTCGGCTGAGAAAGAAACATCTCAGACTTGCTACTCTTCTGCGCAGACGCGGTTCCAAGGATGGTGCGAGGTGATTCGACGCGTTGCAGACAGATCTTCACGAACCTGCTAAGCAACAGTATCAAGTTTACTAAGGTTGGAGCTTTCTCTAGTCTCTTTCGATCCCGTACACTTCACATAACGGATTCAGAACTCACCTAGCATGCACAGCAACGGTCTCTCCCTTATCTGACGCGTTAAACCTTCAGTTCGCGTACTGGTGCTTGTAGTGCTGTGCTGAATCGGGCCTGATTTTCCGCCTTCTGCTTTTCTCAAGACCCTGCCGAAAAGGTTGCCGCTGCTTCTGGCTATGAACTTACGAGTTTTGACGCGTTACGAAATCGTTCGCGGATTGCTGCTTTGTAGTGCGGGGGCTTTAGTTGGTCTGATACTCCGCCTTTCCGCTGTTTCTAAGATTCTGCCGAGTAGGTTGGCGCTGCTTCTGGCTATGAACTTTAAACTTCTGACGCATTACGAAAGTATTTGCGGACTGCGACTTGTAGCGCGGGACTCTCATATTCCGCGCTTCCGCTCATTCTCAGAGTCGGCCCAAAGGGAATCGCTGCTTCTCGCTAGGATCTGACCCAACATGTGCGAAGTTAAAGTGACGGACTCTCAGAACGTAAGAAGGAAGGACATGGACTTCCGGGCAACCCTCCCGAGCCCTCTTGGCTACAAACCCCAAGGAATCGACGGCTAAACCGTCCGGAGAGACCGTTTCCGAACTTTGCCTCTGAAAGAGTATAACTGAGGGGTGTCATCGAAATTGACCAGTGCCGGGTTCCTGCGTTCTCCTTCAAACCGTTCTCTCACCGTTGTTCCTTTCGACCGCCCTCTCACAGGAAGGCTACGTACTTCAGCGCTGCTATCCAGGCCAATGTTACAGACTACGATTGATATTGTGAACATCGAACAGCTGCGGCACGATCTTGGTCACTTTGAACTTCTGCGATCCGCCTGTCACAAGCAGGAAGGCTACGTACTTGTGCGCTGCTACCCGCTCCCCGAAATCGACGCCCGTGCCAGCCATGACTTTATCGAGGTGTTCCCGGAGGGCCCCCAGGTCCGCATCGGCTTCGAAATCGAAGACACGGGGTGCGGAATTCCGGCGGAGAAGCGCGACCTCGTCTTCCAAGATTACTGCCAGGCGGAAGCGTCTACTACGCGCAACCACGGCGGAACCGGATTGGGTTTGGGGATCGTGAAAACTTTGGTCGAAATGATGGGCGGCCAGATCGCGATCGTCGACAAAAGCGGTCCAGGTACGCTGTTCCGCTTCCACCTGGAGTTCCGGCGCGATTCCGCGCCGCCGAGCGAGCCCGTCACGCCGCGAACGCTCGCGCGCCGCGCGCGCCCGTCGTTCCTCCAGGAGCCACGCGCGTTCGCGCGCTTCCGCGTTGTGCTCGCGAGCGGCCGCGCGTTGTCGCGTTCGCTCGCCGCGGCCGCGCTGCGCCGGCAGGGCGCGGCCGTGGTCGAGGCGGCGTCTTGGGGGGAAGCCCTCGACGAGCTGCGTTCCGCAGCGGAACGGGCAGGGGGGCACACCGGAAACGGAACGGAGTCGCCGGAATGGGCCGGGGGCGCTAGCAAACACGGACCGCCCTTGTACTGCGCGTTGCTCGCGCTGTCGCTTCTCCCAAAGGAGCTGAGCGTGGAACAACTAGAGACGGCGGCGATACAAGTGCGCGAGGCGGTCGGAGGAGAGGGTAAGATACTCAGAACCTCTAGAAACACGCCCCTGTCAAGGTTATTTGAGTTGTTCAAATTGTTTGTTTATAAGTTGAACTGGCAAGTTTTCTCAAGCCGTCTTGATATACAGAAACGTGTCCCATTTTGGGTACGGTTGAATGGAGGTCTTGGATTGAACTTAGTAAAGATTTCTTTGAAGTCAGATCCTGCCAACAACGAAATACTTGGACAGGGGGTTTCGTTTAAGGTGACGTAACGGGAAACGGTGAAGAAAAGAACGTTGAACGGGGGAAATCTTGACGTGGATCGAAGTAAAGCCTTTGCCCCATGTTTGGAGCTTGCTTGGTTGTCCTTTTTGGTTGACACCCGAATCGGTCTGGCTCTCTCATCGCCGCTAATTGAGAATGTTGGCTGAAGTTTAGCACCCCCCGCAATTGTTCCGTAGAACACAAGTCGCCCCGAAGTGGGCGAATCTGTAAATCTGTTCTGTGGCAAGCTTCGAGATCTGTGCGTGCCTGCTTTGAAAGCGAGCTTATATATTAAGTGCAGCACGTTTGAACACTCTTTGGTCGAACAGCTCTCCTCGTTGATTCGATGAG